GTCATCTTTGTGTTGTGAAACCATTTACTACAAAGGGTGAAACTGTCAAAAGTATCCTGGAAACTGGTCTGTAGTTTAACTGTGTGCTTTTTAAATTTTTTTTAATTCTTTTTTTTTTTGAAACAGTCTCACTGTGTAACTTTGGCTGATTTTGTGCAGAATGTTTTGCTTGTGTATGTTTATTTACCACATGTGTGCCTGGTGCCCAGAAGAGAATGTCAGATCCTCTGAAGTTGGAGTTATTGGATTATTGTGAGTAGTTGTGTGGGTGCTAATATTGAACCAGAGTCTTCTGGAAGAGTAGCCAGAACTCCTAACCACTGAGACTTTTCTCTAGTCCCTGAAACTATAATTTTTGATAATGAGAAAGCCATACTATTGTGAGCTTTCCTTGTTTTAAACATTTCTAGGGCCAAGGAGATGGCTCAGGAAGTGGTATGTAAAGTACTGCTGCACAAGTGTGAAAACCTGAGTTTGGATCCCCAGAACCAGTGTAAAAATTGGGTGTGATGGTACATGTGTGGAGAACATGGGCCTATAGCTGTAAGGTGCTCAGCAATTGGGATGTCCACACAAGATTTGTCTTTTGAATAAGCTCAGTTTATTTGCACAAACACTCCTTATACTATCATGCTAATATAAAAGTTAAACAGGCATCTCATCAAGTAGGGACAATTGTTTGGGCAGAAATGCTATAGGGTCCCACTGGGGAATCTTCTCTGGCGAGGGTGCTTCAGACACTTGCAGGCTTGACCCTTTTCCTCTGTAGAATCCTTCAGTTGTAGCAAGCTGGGAGGGTGGTACTGGTAGAGGTTCTTTGTGGGTCTAGCCCCACAGCACCAGAAGTTCAATGGTCACCACTCAGAGTCTCAAGTTCTCTTGCTGATGGGTATCAGTTCAGAGTCTAGAGAAGCTGTTTCTTGGGAGTAAGTCTAGAGACCGTTAACCAAGTCACTGGAAATGGCTTTTAAGTTGTGTTCTTATAGCATGCCTGTAACTAACCCTAATAATGGGGGAAGAAGGGACAGATGAATCCACAGGACTTGTTGGCTAGCTAGTCTATCAAAGCAGGGAGCTCTGTGTTCAGTGAGAGGCCCTGTCATGGGAGGGAGGGAGGGAGGGAAGGAGGGAGGGAGGAAGGAAGGAAGGGGAAGGGAAGAAGGAAGGGAGGGAAAAAGAAAAGATAGAAGTAGAGGAAGATACCCAAAGTTGATCTGGTTGACATATGTGCATGCACAGGAGAGTGTATTTGCATGCATGTTCACAAACATATAACCTATACATATTTCCAATTTCTAATTAAAAGTATGTGAGTGTTTGCAAGTTGTGGTATTTGTGTGAATTTCAAAGGACATCTTTTGGGAAGTGGTTCTGTTGGGAATGAAGCTAAAACAAATTCAAGAGAGTAGTGAAGGCTGGGTATGGTGGTACTTAACAGTACTTGGGAGGCAGAGGCAAGAGTATTTCTGTGAGTAAAAATAATAAATAGCAGGTAGATCTTTGTGAACTTGAGGTCATCTTGGTCTTCAGGGTTACACAGAGAAACCTTGTCTTGAAAAAAACTAATAAATAAATGAGTTCATTAAAAATTTTAAAAGCAAGAAAATAACTAGTTTACATGGGTAATATAATTCAAACAGTGGGAAATAAAATTGTCTACTTATCTTTTCACTCTCCTCCTCTTCCGTCCCAGTTATTTCTTTATTTTAGACTTTGTTGGCAGAGGCTGCTTGTTTATTTTTTCATTCCCAACTGCTCAGACCCAAAACAGTCACACAAACTATATTAATTGTAATACTGTTTTGCCAATAGCTTAAGCATTTTTCTAGCTAGCTCTTATATCTTAAATTAACCCATTTCCATTATTTAATATTTTGCAACAAGGCTCGTGATTTACTGGTAAGGTTCCCAGGCATCTGTCTCCTTTGGCGACTACATGACATCTCTCTAACTCTGCCTTCTTTCCTCCTGTATCTGCTTGGAATTCCCACCTTATTTAATTCTGCCCTGCCAGTAGGCCAAATTAGTTTTATCCATTAACCAGTGGTTCACAGCATACAGAGGAGAATCCCACATCAAGACTTGACTTGTAGACTTTTCACAGCCTTTCAATGCTGTCATCTGTTTAATCATGTAGGTGTCCACATTCCTCTACTTGTTTACAGCAGTCTGAAGCTCCTTGAGCCCCTCTGTCTGTCTCTTCCCCCTAATTCAACTGGGAGAATGGCAAGGTCCACTTCATTCTTCTGAGTGGCTCTGGGATTGGCTGCAGTGAATATTCCCACTGCTGATGGTTTAAATGCTCATTAAAGTTGCTTTCAACATTGATTAGTTTAGGTTCTACGTGTGTGTGTGTGTGTGTGTGTGTGTGTGTGTGTGTGTGTGTGTGTGTGTGTTTTATTGACTAGTCTGAAACTTCCTGTATATAGACCCAGATTGTCTGAAATTTGTAGCACCCTCCTGTCACAGCTTTTTAAATGCTGATTTTTTAGGTGTGTACTACAGACCTTGCAGAATTTTCCCCTTCTCTCTAATTCAAATAATACTTAAGGAATATTCTTGTGACTGTCATTACTGTCAGTAGGTTAAGTTTCCTGGAAGTGAAACTTCTAAGTACGTAGTTTTGGATTTAATAGGTATTTCTAAGTTATGAAACTGAGGAAGTTATGTCAGAGTATAAAAGAGCCTCTTCTTCCTATCTGCCCTGTACATTGCATTTGTTAACTTTAAATATCCTAAACACATGTTAGAAATAAGTTCAGTATCGTAAAAAAAGAGACCAACAGACTGGAGAGATGGCTCAGAAGTTAAGTGGTCATGCCTTCAATTACCAGCAACCACATGGTGACTCACAACCATCTATAATCACATCTGGTGCCTCTTCTGGCGTGTAGGTGTACACACAGAAGACTGTATACTTGATAAATCAATCTTAGAAGAAAGAAAGAGACAACCATTCCAACTGAAGTATCTGGATGAAACAGACTGTACTCCCAATCAAGAAGGTGTGCTCTGGGAGAGCAGACATACACCAAGACAGGAAGTACATTTGATTTTTATACTAAGGAAGGTGGTGATTGTCTTTTCCTAGTTGACTGAAGTTGGACCTCACTATTTTATTCATTTGACTAGTCTGAAAAGAATTGGTGCATGGGAAATAGAGGAAGGGGAAAGGAGTCATTGCTCCTAAGAGAAAAGAATTACTGCTTCGGGCCATCAGATTTCTAGAATGGAGCAGTGGTGGGCCTTTGAGTAATCAAGTTTTACTGGGTGGGGAGGATTAAAATATTTGCAAGTCTTATAAGGCAGTGGAGACAAAAAGATCTTAATTCCTTGTCCTACCTACAAGTTTTATAGTATTAGAAAAGACTGTTATTTCTTTATAAGTTTTCATTCTTCCATAAAATAAAGTTGAAGTTCTTGTACTTGAAAGATTTATTTTCACTGGGCAGTGTAGTTTACACCTTAATCTCAACACACGGGAGGCAGGCAGATCTCTATGAGTTTGAGGCCAGCCTGGTCTACGGAGTGAGTTCTAGGACAGGGTTGTTACACAGAGAAACCCTGTCTCAAAAAAAAAAAAAAAAACCCTAAGAAAAAAGGTTTAATTTCTATTTGGTGCATATACTTTTGCTGATTTTTCCCTTTGATTGTTGCTTTTCATATTGTTTCTTTTTTTAGATTGATTTATTTATTATGTATACAGTGTTCTGCATGCATGTATGCCTGCAGGCCAGAAGAAGACACTAGATATGATTATAGATGGTTGTGAGCCACCATGTGGTTGCTGGGAATTGAACTCAGGGCCTCTGGAAGAGCAGCCAATGCTCCTAACTGCTGAGCCATCTCTTTAGCCCCTTCTTATTATTTCTGAGTGCTGTAACAAGTCATGTTTGTGGTTTTACAAATATTTGTTTCTGTTTTGTCTCTTGTCTTGATTATTGGTTATGACTTGCTTTCTAAAAAAAATCTGAATTCTGTGATCAAATTTATCATTCAAAGCTAAGCTTTGCAACTGTTTTAGAGAATGTCATCCTCCACATTGAGATTTTTAACACCTAGTAGTGGTGGTTTGGTGATGCAGCCACAGGATGGAACCACATATTACTTTGTGGATTCTGATCGGAATTTTTGTCTGCTGTGTTCCAGGCTGGTTCATTTTCAGCAGCATGGTGAAATTGTACTTTTACTACTATGAGTTACTTTGGAAATTAGGGTCATGCCTGTGCTTTTTATCCTGTTGACTGCTGAACCTGATACCAGTTAGATATTAAAGGAAAATAGAACTTTTTAAAGTCTGAAGGTGAAGATGGTTGTGTAAACACAAGTATTGATTATGACTAGAATGGTTGTGTATCTCCCTCATTTCTGACTCTTTGGAGGCATCTTTTTAGTCTGTGTTGTAAACTTGTTATCTTCAAAGAAAAAACACAAGTCAACAAGTAGACTGAGCTTTTTAAGCAATTTTTTTTGTTTTTACTTTTCTAATGTAGTGACTGAGAGAATGAACTTGTCCTATTATGTACCCCAATTCCAGCAGAAGTCACCCTCATAGGTTTTGTCTTGCAGCCATTTCAAGACTTCAGTTGGATCCCATTGAGCTGTAAAGGTTATGGATGCAAAATTGCTAAGTGGGTAGCCTGCTCCCTGAGTTAGGGTTGGAAGTGATAACTAGTGACAAAGCAAATAAGAGAGCCAACGAGATTCTTTCCTCTCTGATGACACAATTGCAGTCTATATATAGACAGGACCAGATTGCATAGACCCTGTTCTCTAAGGCAGACAGTTGATCTGGTCTCTGGGAAGGAGCAGCCTGTGATAGGTTGGATCTTTACTGAATAACCAAGGCTTCAAAGACTTTTCTAATCCCTAAACTAGAGGAATCTATTGTTGACGCGTGACCAAAGCATGCTGTGTGTTGGCTAAACAAGAGATCATGGTCTCCCATGCTCCAATATTGGAAAGTATCCAAAATCAAATCTGCTTTTCTTCTGTAGGCAGCATTCCTGATCTTGATGTACAGGAACGTTTTATCAGTGTCAGCGCATGGAGTGTCCACACTGGTTAGATGCAGCTCCAGACTTGTAAAGGCAGGCACCTGCTTTTCTTTCACACTGGAAGATGTCAGAGCCCTTCTTTGTCCAGGATTTCTGGAGTGTAGGGTTTGTCTGATAAGTATTGTTTTTCTTTGTTTTATTTGTTTTAGTTTTATTCCTAATCCTCCTATCTCCCAAGTGCAGGTATAGTACATTCTTTATTTTTAAAAATTATTTAGGTGCTGGAGTGGGACTTAACAACTTAGTTGGTAAAGTGCTTCTCATCTAAGAATGAGAGCCTGAATTTTATCCTTAGTCATGGTGGCAATGAATGAACTTAATCCTAGTGCTGGGGAAGTAGATACTGGAGGATCTCTAGGACCTGCTGGGCAGACAGTTTAGCCAAATCAAGGAGCTCCAGGTCCTAAAGGGAGACCTTTAATCTACAGAGGCAGATAGATTGCTGTGAATTCAAGGCAACCCTGGTCTACACAGTGAGACCCTGTCTCAAAACAAAACAAGAAAACAAGCAAACAGAAACCCTAAGGTGAACAGCTCCTTCAGAATGATATTTCATAAAACCCTTAAAATTAAATTTTCAGGTTGTGGTGGTACACACCTTTTATCCCAGCACTCAGTAATCAGAGGCAGGTGGACCTCTGAGTTCGAAGCCAGGTTGGTGTACAGAGCGAGTTCTAGGACAGCTAGGGGGTACATAGAGAAGCTTTGTTTTGAACTCTCCCAAATAATAATAATTTTAAAATTATATTGCAAAATGTAGTGATGTGTACCTTTGATCCCAGCACTCAGGAGGCAGAAGCAAGCGGATCTCTGAAATTGACGTCAGCCAGAGCTACAGAGAGAAACCCTTCCTCAAAAAGCAAGCAAACAACAAACAAATAAATAAATAAAGGTTGCTTTTGATTGTAATGGAGTTTGAGCTGAAGACTTCATACAAGTTAGAAAGGCTAAGATATTTCCAGCTGTTCCCACCAAACTTTTAATTATTTTTTTTTTTTTTGATGATCTCACCAAGTTACCCAGACTGCCCTTGAGATTGCCCTCCTAAATAGCTGGGATTATGGGCCTTTATCTGGTTTAAAATGTAATCTTAAAGGTAATGTATTTTGTTCATGTGTTTATCACAAGTGTTATACATTTTCCACCATAGAGATGTAAAAGTCTTTTCTTCAAATAAATGCATGTACTTGCTCTTTGGTAAGATTATCAGAATAGTCACATTGTGTCCTCTATGTTGTTTTGAACTGGAGTTGACAACTCTTGAACTTTTATTTCTGTAATGTTTCTCTGATTCCCGGGTTGATATTTACAAGGTTTCGTCATTGTGATTTGTCATCTTTCCCTTGGTAATTATGATATGAGAATGAGGCCAGGGAAATGCTTATTCTTAAACTTTGGGCAACTGGTATTAGCCTGCTTCAGTGGGTTTTATCTGCAGTATTTACTGCCTGATGCTTAAGATTATTCTGTCTGTGGGTTTTTGCTTTTGTTTTGTTTTGAGACAGGGTTTCTCTGTGTCACCCTGACTGTCCTAGAACTCGCTCTGTAGACCAGCCTGGCTTCGAACTCACAGAGACCCACCTGTCTCTGCTGGGATTAAAGGCATGTGCCATCACCACCTGGCAAAGACAAAATTTTTCCCCGCTGTATTTATTCAGTTATTTGTGTAAGTATGGTGTCATGGAGATAGACCTGGTCCTATGGATTAAACATAGCATCTATTGTTATTGCGTAGTGTTGCTTGAATCATGAGAGAATGTTAGAAACCAAAACTGGTAGACAGGATCAAGACAAAAAAATTAAGCCAGAACCTGTTAAGGATGAGTGTTGGTGGAGGGCAATAAATACTGTGTAGGATACTGAGTGGGCTTTGGAAGCAGGTGAAGTCCACTAATAGAAAGCTTGTTTAGTTAATGTTGTACCTGTATTGGTTTCTTGTTGATATTCTGGTTGTGTAGGGAAGTCAAGAAAGAGTATACAGACAAGGGAAGGTCAATTTGAAGGACAGTTTTAAATTAGAGACTATTTTTGTAGCTTTTTTTTTTTGTTCAAAGAGTTTAAAAGGCCAATTTCAAGAACAACTTTTAGTGACAATAGGGAATCCTTTAATAAGTTTAAAGTAAATTGTGTGACCTTTGGACATGTGTTAGATAAAGGCACCCCCACCAACTATTTATTTATTTGTTTATTTATTTATTTATTTATTATGTATACAGTGTTCTGCCTGCATGTGTGACTGCAGGTCAGAAGAGGGCACCAGATCTAATTGTAGATGATTGTGAGCCATTATGTGGTTGCTGGGGTTGGTTGTGAGCTACCATGTGGTTGCTAGGAATTTAACTTAGGACCTCTGGAAGAGCAGCCAGTGCTCTTAACCATCTCTCCAGTCCCTAGATAAAGGCTTTTATTTGAAGATTTCCATGACAAAGCTATAGTTTTTCTTTAGTTTGCATATTGTTGGAGACGTTTGATTCTATATACTATGTGCTTTGTGTCAGTGTATATGCTGTCAGAAAAAGCTGGGACTATTAAGTAGATCTTTGGGATCCCTTTTGGGCCAAAACATTCTGTAATCTTTGTATGATAATGTTTTCAGGCTTGAAATTATAGTCCTTATCTTGTCTCTCTTTGGATTTAGGAAGAAAAGGCTTCTCTTTTACATCGCACTCAGGAAGAAAGACGGAAGAGAGAGGTAGGTAATGGTTTTGACTAGTCTGTAAATTACTCTTTACAAACCCTTTTCTGCAGCATTTTTTTTAAAACTTTGTTCAACAAGTGCATGCATGTATGTTATGTGAGTTTTAACTCTTGGAACAGTTTGGGGTTATGTTAAATTTTACAGTAAGCTTTTCATTTTGGAACCACTGTAGGAAAAGATAAAATGGGCTTAAATGTTGAGTTCATATTGAAGAATATGGGGTTTTGGTTGCCTTTTTTGTTTATAAGAAGTTTTCCAGAAGATCTAGAAAGCTTTAATGTACAGTATTCATATTTTTTTTTTTATATAAGGAGAAAACTCAACTTTAAGGTACTTGTTAAGACAAGTTTATAAAAAAGATGAAAGGAGCTAATGCCATTCTGGTTTTTTGGGTTTTGTTTTTATTTTTTAATGCCTGTTTCCTGCCAGCCTAGCTATGCCAAGCTGATTTCAAACTCCATTTTCCTGCTTCCTGGATTATTGGAATTGCAGTTGTATGCTATTGTATCTTATTTTGATGTTACATCTTTTGGGGATAGTTAACTTAAAACAACTTTAATGGTTAATTATAACATACTATAAGACCTTGCTTTTCTAGATATAAGTTTTGGGTCTTGTTATGTTACTTGTTTGTTTATTATTTGTATCTTTAAAACAGAGTCTCTTTATATAGTCCTGGCATGGGTCTTGTTATTTCTGGGTAGCCCGGCTGTCCTAGAACTTGCTCTGTAGACTAGACTGACCTGAAACTCCTAGTTCTGCCTATCTACACCACCTCCCTGGGTCCTGTTATTTCAACAACTCATTCCTGCATCTAATAGATGTCTGGGAGCTTGTGGTTTGTCAGGTACTGTTGTGTTTGCTGGATACAGATCACAAACAGTAAACAAGACCCTGCTCTGTGGTGGTGAGTCCTGCGTGACAGCCAAAAACTAAGATGGTATTGAGAGCTGTTAAGACAGTAGAATCATGGCTGCTCACTGAGGAGGTCAAGATGGATGGGCACTGGAGAAAAGGGCAGAGTGGGTGATACTGAAAAACTAGAGGTTGCTGCCGTTTAGGATCCTCTGCCTAGGGAATGGTACCACCCACATGGAATGGGTCTTTCTACATCAATTAACAAGACAGTTCCCCACAACATATGCACAGTCCGACCTGTTTTATTTAATTCATCATTAAAATTCTTCCTGGTGATTCTAGTTGTGTCACGTTGACAGTTAAAATTAACTAGCTCATGAACTAATGACATTTATGGTCAACTAAATTACTAGAACTGATTTAGCTTAAAATTTTAGGGAAATTTCTGTACTTTTAAAAGATAAAGCCATTCTCTGTGCATTCCTGGTAAGGGGACATAGCAATAGCAGAAATTAATTTCCAGCCTCATCACTATTGACATTTTTGGCTAGGACATTGAGCTGTGAGGACTGTCCTCACAGTAGCATTTCTTCTCTCCAGTTACGACAGATCACCAGTAGCGTAGCTAAAGTAGCGCTCAGTCAGGAAAGGTGTTTCCTTGTTGGTGTTCTCCACTGTCTGAGGAAGTTCTGTAGTATGTCCATTTCTTTGTGTTTATTTTTTTCACATATCTATAATGGGATTGCAAAATGGTTGTAACCATTTTGGAAAATATTGTCATAGAAATGTTAATTCACTCCTAGGTTTATACTCAAGAAATGCAAGCCTATCTCCTTCAAAAAAGGTGGACATAAGTTTCTATAGCAGGATTGTTCATAATAGCCCACAGTGGAAACAGGACAATTGCCAACCAGATGATGTACAGATAAACAGAATATGAGATATGTATATGATGAAATGTTATTTGACCATAAGAGGGAATGATGTACTAACACATACTACAGTGTGTATGAAGCTTGAAAACACTGTGTCAAATGAAAAAGGTCAGAGAAAAGACAGACCAAGTGATTCCATCGTATCAACTGCTCAGGCTAGGAAAATCCATTGAAAAAAGTGTATGAGTAAAGACTTGGAGGGCCAGGCAAGGAGTGAAGGGTGCCTCCTAGAATAGGTAAGGGGTTGTAGGCAGGGACTGCTCATTTGTTTCCTGGCCACTCAGACACAGAAACTGTATTAATTAAAACACTGCTCAGCCTATTAACTCAGACTTCTTATTAACTAACTCTTACATCTTAAATTAACCCATTCCTATTATTTTATATTTTACCACACCGCTTGTGGTTTACCAGTAAGGTTGGGGGGGGGGTAATCTGTCTCCTTTGGCAGCTACATGGCATCTCACTGACTCCGCCTTCTTTTCTCCTCTATCTCTGCTTGGAATTCTTGCCTTGTTCTAGTCTGTCCTGTCATAGGCCCAAGTGTTTGTTTATTCATTAACCAATAAAAACAACACATATATAGAAAGACTTCCCACATCAAGGGGTTTCTTTTTGGTTTCTTTTTGCCTTTAATCCTAGCACTCAGAATGCAGGGGCTGGAGGATCTCTTAGTTCAAGGCCAGCCTGGTCTGCAGGGTTCCAGAACTACAGAGAGAAACCCGCCTAGAAAAAGAAAAAATAGAAAAGATAGTGGTAATGGCTGTGAAACTCTCACGCATTAGAAATATGTTCAGTGATGGGATTGGAATGATGACTCGTTGTTTAAGAATACATAGTACTCTTGCAGAGTTCAATTCCAGTAGGTATGTTAGGCGACAGAACCACTTGTAACCACAGCTCCAAGGGATCCAATGCTTCTGGCCTCCAAAGGCACCTGCACTTACGTTCATATATCCACACATAGGTACAGACAGTAATTTAATAAAAAATGCTGCTTATGGTGTCACACACCTTTAATCCTAGCACTTGGGAAGCAAAGGCAGGAGGTTCTCTGTAAGTTTGAGGACATAGAAACCCTGTCTCAACAGCAAAACCAATAATAATAATAAAATGAATTCTTAAAATATGTTTGTAACTGGAAGTCTTTCTTCTGTCCCATCTAGTCTTTCTGGACTGGTCTCTCCTGACCACCAGTTTCCGCAACTGCTTGCAAAATAATCATTTGGGGGCTTAATGTTAATTATAATTGTTTGGCTGATGGCTCGGGCTTCTTACTGACTAGATCTACGTATAAACTAACACGTTTCTGTTATTCTGTATTTTACCATGCGGCTTGTGGCTTGTTACAAGCCACAAAAAAAAAAAATGTGGCTTGTCACATTTTTCTTCCCCGGTGACTGCTTGAGTACCTCTAACTCCACCTTCTTTCTCCCCATATCTCTGTTTGGACTTCCCGCCTAGCTATAGTCTGCCCTGGCATAGTCCAGAGCAGCTTCTTAATTAACTAGTGGTAATAAAACATTCACAGCATACAGAGGGGCATCCTACATCATATGTTCATTAAAAGAACGAATTTTATGGTATTTGGATCATAAAACTAATTATCAAAAAAATTTAGTAAGTGTCATTTTCACCAGTTCTAACCGATTGTTCCTTCTTTCCTTCCTCCATTATTCAGGAAGAAAGGCGAAGATTGAAAAATGCAATAATAATCCAGTCATTTATTCGAGGCTATAGAGACAGAAAACAACAAGTAAGTTTGTTTTTTTAAAGTTGGCACTTTGTGGCTAAGGCTGACAACCTGAGTTCAATTTCCACAACTCACATGATAGACAACCAACTCTTCAACCTTCATGTAACATGTCATCACCTAAGCATACACATACACAAACTAAATAAATATAATGTAAAAATTAAGAGAAATGAACCACAGCTGGAGAGATGGCTCAGAGGTTAAAAGCACTGGCTACTCTTCCAGAGGTCCTGAATTCAATTCCCAGCAACCACACGGTGACTTACCGCTATCTATAATGGGATCTGGTATCCTCTTCTGACTGCAGCCATACATGTAGACAGAACGCTGTATATATATAATAAATAAATAATTCTTTTTAAAAAAGAAGCAAAACATGTGAATGTATGCAACCATATTCTTAAGAACCAGGTGTGGTGTACAAAAGTCTAGTGTCAGCATTAGTGAGGCAGAAGCAGGCAGATCTGTGAGTTCAAGGTTATCTTGGCATACATAGAATTCCAGGGCAGGCTATGTAGAGAAATCCCATCTCAAATAAAAGAAGAAAAATAAAACAGGATTTATTTGAAGGGAAGTAAAACTGAAAGGAAATAGAAGGTTGTATGAGAAGTTATTTTAGATATAGTATTGTTTGTATAAGTAATATCTGTCTTAAATGAATTTATCATGCCTGCTTTATAAAATTTAGTGTTAATAAATAGTATTTTTCCTAATAAATAATTGTATTTGTTTTACTTAAAAGATTTATAAATAGATGAATTTTGGGGAAATTTTAAGTTTAAGACAAGTGGTAATTACAAAGAAGAAAGGTGTAGGTGGTTCTGGTAGACATTTTGGATCTTCACTGCATTTCAAGTTAGGAATTTTCACTTATGGCTTATTTTTTAATCTTTAACTGGGGTCCAGTAATCATTTCTTAGTTGTTGGTCACCATACCTATAAAACACTCATTGCTAATTTCCATTGTGACAACTATGGAGCAGTATGTTGACACATGACTTCCTCTGCTTACAGTATTCCATCCAAAGAAGTGCATTTGACCGATGTGCTGACTCAGCTCAGCCTGGTGGCACCTTCTGCCTTGCCGATGGTCCCAACCTTACCCTCTTAGTAAGGCAGCTTCTCTTCTTTTACAAACAGAGTGAAGACTCCAAACGTTTGGTGAGTATAGACATTTTCACTAAGTTCTGTTTACCTATTTTCCATCTCCATTGGGGGAAGGGGTGTGTCGAAGTGGTGAGTGTCTGAAGAAGCCAGATAACTCCTCCTCAAGTCTACGCCTTTTTTTTTTTTAAAAAATTTATTTATTATGTATACAGTATTCTGTCTGCGTGTATGCCTGCAGGCCAGAAGAGGGCACCAGACCTCATTACAGATGGTGGTGAGCCACCATGTGGTTGCTGGGAATTGAACTCAGGACCTTTGGAAGAGCAGGCAATGCTCTTAACTGCTAAGCCATCTCTCCAGCCCCCTGGGGTTTTTTTTTGTTTTTTTTTTTTAAATCCAGCTGTAATAGGTGACCTTTGTGTTGATGTATTTTACTTTTCAAAGTCAACATACATTTTAACTGATTTCTCTGTTATGGTATTTTAAGTGTTATAAGGATATTGTAGACACTCGTCAGTCAGTGTGTCCCACTTTCCTCTGTACGTCAGCCTCTCTTGTCTTTGTGCAGCTGCTGTGAGGTGTGTACCCTCACTATTGATTATGTGCATATATAGTAATACTTTACTTCAAATATAGGGTCTCTTTAAAAATGTAATCCATTTCTCTAAAATATTGTAGGTTTTTGTTACTACTAATGAGGGATAGAGAGCATTGTTTCGGTGAACTGTGTTCTTTTTTTTGTTTTGTTTTTTGAGATAGGGTTTCTTAGTGTAACCTTGGCTGTTGTGAAACTAGCTCTGTAGATCAGGCTGGCCTTGGACTCACAGATATAACCGTCCTTTGCCTTCCAAGTGCTAGGATTAAAGGCATGTGCCACCAACGCCTGGCATGACCTATTCTTAAAAAGTGGAACATGTAGTTAGGTATGATGGTTCATACCTGTAATTCCAGCACTTGGGTGATGGAATGATCAGGAGTTCAAGGCCGACCTGGATCACATTAAACACTGTTGCAAAAAAACAAAAACAACAACAACAAAAAAAACCCAAGCTGGGCAGTGGTGGCACACACATTTAATCCCAGCACTGAGGTGGAGACAGACAGATCTCTGTGAGTTCAAGGCCAGCCTGGTCTACAGAGGGAGTTCCAAGACTGGCTCCATAGCTACTGAGAAATCCTGTCTCAAAAAAAACTAGAAAAAAAACGACCAAACAAAAGCCCCCCAAAAGACCCTTTGTGTTTCATCTTCCCCAGGAAATATTATGAGATTTACATATAATTGTTAGGTTAGATATTTTTATTTATTTGTAATTGAGATTTCCAAATCACATTAAAAGGGGATATACAGTGAAAACTAGATAGAGCCCCACGTGGAGCAAGTACAAGGCAAAAGGCTGCTTTGCTATTATTTTTCTAGAGCTTGGCTGTAGTCCTAGCTCTGCAGGTGAACTTGAGCTATGCTGGGGCATGAAAGAACTTTGTATAACTGAAGCTTATCAAGAGAGGTACAACAGAGACTGGAGAGATTGCTTCGTGTTTGAGAGCACTAAATATTCTTTCAGAGAACCTGAATTCAAATCCAAGCACCCATATGCTTACAAATGTATATAACTCTAGTCCCAGGGGATCCAAGGTCTCCAGGCACCCATGTGATACACAGACATACATGCAGGCAGAAGGCCCATACATATAAAGGGGCTTGGGCACAGTAGTTAATCTGCCCACCATTCTGGACTTTGCTTCTGGGCAGCTGTCTGGAATCCTTTCTGAAGCCCAGGAGAAGAGGAGTAAAGCTACAGAAGCAAACCATCTAACTTGCCTCTCAACAGACTGCCTTTGCCTTAGGGCTCCCTATTCCTGGAATGGAAGGATCTCTAAGGAGCAGAAAACATGTAGGTGTTGTCTCTTTCCAGAACTCCTTGGTGTGTGAAAGCTCATCTGTAATCTGGTTCTAAAGAGGCATACACAGAAGTGCTCTAGAAGCTAGATGTGAAACCTTAGAGTGAAGAGGAGGCTTTGGCCCAGCCCCAGGCGCATGCAAAGCAAATAGTTCATGTGCAGATTGTGAAATCCTAAATAGAGCAAAATGTCGTCAAACACAGTTCAAATTAAAAAGCGGGGGGGAGGGGAGCTTAGGGTCTGGAGATTAGGGTCTGGCCATTAGGTCTTAACCAATGACCCATTGGTTAAGAGCATTGGCCACTCTTCCAAAGCACCTGAGTTCAATTCTCAGCACCCACATATCACAACTGTCTATTATTGTCCAGTTCCGGGAACCTGACACCCATGGCAAAAACAACAAATGCACATAAAATAAAAATGAATATTTTTTTAAACCCGCAATTTAAAAAAAAAGAAAAGTGAGTTAAAACCAGATGTGATGGTGAATGCCTGTGATCGCAACACTAGGGATTGTGGCAAATTCTGACTAACTGAGCTATAAGTGAGACTCTTTCTCAAAAATAAATAAGGAAGGTCAGAAGAGATCGTGAATATTTTCAATTCACTAACAAAAATGCAAGAACAGTTTTCCTGTGACAGTCACCTAATTAGTTCCCCAATTCCCACTTAGAAACAAGCAGGATGCCACCTTGGATAATTTTTTAGTGGTACTAAATGCAGATTTTAACATTTATGCCTATACCACCCCTTCTTTATTTAGTTCTCTCTCTTGCTCTCTTCCCCTTCTCTCTTTCTCTCTCTTCTTTTTTCAAGGCAGGGTCTGTAGCCCTGGCTGTCCTGGAACTTGATCTGTACTGTAGACTAGGCTGGCCTTGAACTCCCTGAGAACCACCTGCCCCTGCTTATCAAGCATTGAGATTAAAGGTGTGCACAAATATATGTTTTACTGTGACTTTAATATGGTCCTATGCCAAGAGAGTAATGTGCTATAACTGCACTTTTTTTCCTGTATATAGCTTGCTTTTAACTTTTCTTAAATTAATGCTTGCCTAACTTTTTATTGTTTTGTTTCTTTTGTTTTCAAGACAGGGTTTCTCTGTGTAGCTTTGGAGCCTGCCCTGGAACTTGCTCTGTAGACCAGGCTGACGATGAGCTCACAGAGATCCACTTGCCTCTGCCTCCTGAGTGCTGGGATTAAAGCTTGCCTCACTTTTTAATTAATTGGTTTTCTTTGAATCTCTTTCTCTCCTCCACCTGGCAACAGTTCTATGTTCCATTCTTGGCGCAACTTTTCATAAACTCGGGCTGTCCCTGTCTTCGTGCATTTCTTCCTAGCACAGGCCTGCTGTTATTCTGGGAAAGCCTTTGTTTTGCTTTTTCTGATTTCTCTGTCTTTTCTTGGTTTATTTTTTATGTTACTGATACTCATTCATCCTTGGTTGACACTTAAAATATATAAGGACAGTGTGGGGCTCTGAAGGTAGAGCTCAGTGATAGAGTGATTACCTCAAATGCGTGAGACCATCCTGTTGTAGGGTTTCTGTTGTTCTGATGAAACATGAAAAACATCTTGGAAGGAAAGAATTTATTTCAATTATACTTCCATATCACAGTTCATCATTAAAGGAAGTCAGGTCAGGCATTCAAACAGGGCAGGAACATGGAGACAGGAGCTGATGCAGAGACCATGAAGAGGTACTGTTAATTGGCTTGCTCTTTATGATTTGCTGAGAAATCCCGGACCAATAACCCCCACAATAGTCTGGGCCATCCCACATCAATCACTAGTTAAGAAACTGCCCTATAGGCTTCCCTGAAAGATCTTTTGAGAACATTTTCTCAATTGAGGTTACTCTCAGATCACTAGCTGTGTCAAGTTGACATAAAACTAGCCACCATTACAGAAGCAAACACAAACAAAAAAGCAAAATAGTTTTAAATATTTTTCTCATCTGTCTTTAGTAAATAACAAATATTAAGCAAATCAGATATTTAATGAGTACAATTTTTTCAGTAATAATGGCACATCTGTCACTTGTCAAATCCAGGAGATGGCAAAATGACTTAGCAGGTTTAAAGGTACTTGTGCCCAAGCTTGATGACCTGAGTTGAATTTCTAGGACCAATATTGTGGAAGGAAAAAACTGTCTCCTGTAGGTCACTCTAAACTGTAAACACACCATGCCATGGTATATGCTCACATCCATAAAACATAAATAAAAATTAAATGAAAAAATTTTAGAAAAGATTGTCAAATGAAGAACCGAAGCTAATTCGGAAAGTGTTGAAAATAGTATAATATTCTTAACTACTTCGAGATTTTTTTTGAAATTCACTTCAAATACCTGGTTAATAAAGTAAAACTTTATTCTTGGAGTTCCTACAACTGCCCTCTAGCTTTTTATCATTATAGTTTTTGTATGTCTTATTTTTATTTGCTAATAGGAACCACAAAATTTAAGATAAGCCGTGTGAGGTAGTTTGAAAGGTTTATTTCATGTTGGTTCCCATGAAAATGGATAGGGTGGTTCCAGATCAGAGTGATCTACTTTCAGGTGGTGTTAAGTAGGTTTTACAACCAGAAAACAGAATATTGAGTCTATTTCATAAAAATACAGTGGAGGAAATAGAAAAGAGTTCTTGTTAGGTGTTGAGGTTTCAGCGTCATTCAGAATCAGCCACATACATACTGTTTACAATCAAGCCTTGTGAACACAGGGGACAAAATCTGACATTCCGCTTTCCTGAACTCACAGGTTAGTCATCATTGATTCTAAAAGAGTGGACTCCTCTGACCAGCCCAGTTATGTGATTGTCCTTGGACTGGGAGCCATGTTTATTGCCTTCCTGTGAAGAGTGTGTGGGAGAAATTTCCCTTTAGTAAATCTCTGTGTGTAATATAAAAATAAAAACAAAAAAATCCTTAAATAGTGCATGAAGTTAGGGAAAGGAAACAGAAAGGATGTTGAAGGAGACTGCAGCTCTCCATACAAGAAGGACAAAGAATTGTTCATGCAACTTGAGGGTAGTGCTGTATTCCCTCTGTGGTGTTCTGGTGGATTGCTTCCATTTGCTTATGACTTGTTGTTTCAAGTAGAATGAGCTTTATATATTCTTTGTTTAACGACTAATAGTAATGTATATTAACATTGATGCTATTAAGATGGAGATATACAAGTCTTGCTAAAAAAAATTCGGAGTTAAAAACCTTATTCTTTATCAAGTTTTGATTAAAGTGTAGAAACCATGTAAAGACATTTTTTAGTATTATCTAAATAACCAAGCAAATTTAATGGGTTATTTTTATGTTTTACTCTTACAGATATGGCTATATCAGAACTTAATTAAGCACAGCTCTCTGTTTGTAAAGCAATTGGATGGATCAGAGAGACTGACATGCTTATTTCAAATAAAGAGGTTGATGAGTCTTTGTTGCAGGTAAGTTTTGTCATAGCTGGAAACTTAAAAACCGTCTGAGACACCTAAGATCAGCCTCCTTTTCAAAGTTGTGTGTGTCTTTCAAGTATGGGATATATAACAGTGTATAACAATGCCTCTGCCAAGTCAGTTTTAAGAAAAGACATGGAGGAACTGGAGAGATGGTTCAGTGGTTAAGAGTGCTTACTGCTTTTGCAGAGGACTGGAGTTCAGTTCCTAGTACACAGCCACCTGTAACTATATTTCCAAAGGATGTGACACCCTTCTCTGGCTTCCCACAGGCACCCGCACTCGTGTGCACATACACACATAGTCACACACGTAAACATGTTAAGATTTTTTTTAGGGCTAAAGAGATGTCTCAGAGGTTAAGAGCATTGGCTGCTCTTCCAGAGGTTCTGAGTTCAATTCCTAGCAATGACATGGTGACTCACAACCATCTACAATGAAATATGGTGCCCTTTTGGTGTCCAGGCAGAACATTGTATACATAATAAATAAATAAATCTTAAACTTTTTTTTTTTTTGTTGTTGTTGTTGTTGTTGAGACTGGGTCTCCATCTATAGCCCTAACTGACCTGGAACTTATACAAATCTGCCTGCCTTTGCGTCACCTTCTGAATGGTAGGATTACAGGCCTGTGACACTACACCTGGCTGGAGGCCATTTTCAAATTAAGATTCCTTTTGTCTGTAGTTCTCCTCCTAGCAGGAGGGGAGGCTTCAGTCAAGATAATGCTGTACCAAAGAGAGCATGCTGTTCTGTACTGTTGGGAACCTGCAGGTCTAGACAGACCTGATGTCACTGGTTGCAATGGCACTTTTTCCAGAAAGCTTTACCCAGGTGAAAATGTAACTTCTCTTCCAACAATCCATGTGCTATGGTTTTCTGTCACTGTTCGTAATATTTGTTTGTCCTCTGCTGTCTCTCCCTCTGAGATGGAATATTTTTCATGTCTACCTGCTAAAGGGATACTGTTGACACATGATAAAAGACTCAGGAATTCTGAACATTGTTGCTTGAGCAGTAGTGCAGTGTGACTCACATGCTCGTCACAGAAATTGGAGCCGTCAGGAAAACTGGCAGCCCTGACTTTCTAGTAAGTATGTGAATCTGTTTTACAGGTTGCTGCAAAACTGTACTGATGACAGTTTGAATGTTGCACTTCCAATGCGAATGCTTGAGGTGTTTTCATCTGAGAATACATACTTGCCTGTTTTACAAGATTCTAGCTATGTGGTGTCAGTGATTGAACAAATTTTGCACTACATGGTTCACAATGGTAAGTGGGGCAAACTGTGGAGGTGGGCATTGTTGTGGAGGCATGCATTGTCTTGTGTGCTGTTAAAAGATGGTACTGCTCTGATCAACACACTGATCTTCAGAACAGAAGCTGTGCACGTGTGTGCCTTCTAGGAGAGTGATACAGCCACTGAGTCCTAGCATTGGTCCCAACCTCTACAAACGCAAAAGTCTTTTCAGTGTCTGTACCTAATTATTTTTTGTTTTATAAAAAACAAGTTCCTCTGGTTAATCATAAAAGGAACTGGTTTAAGGCTGGGTATGGTGATATGTGCCTTTAATCCCAGCACTTGGGAGTCAGAGGGCAGGCAGGTTTCTGTGAGTTTAAAGCCAGCCTGGTATGCAAAGAGTTCCAGGACAATTGGGACTGTTAAACAAAGAAACCCTGTCTTGAAAAAACAAAAAATATTGGTTGTTCTTTAAAGTTATAAATTACTGTTACTACAGAGTGTTAATAACTGATTTTATTGAAGTATATACCTATATAGATTAACTCTAGCTGATATAGATTAAGATCATAAAAATTATGGTCTCATTCATTTTTACTGTTTGTAGAGCTTAGTAAGTGTAAATGCCCCTAACTTGCTTTGTTAAAAATCTCAGAAAACTACTGACTTAGTGAAAATCACAGTGATTTTCTAAAATCACAGTTTGATTTTCTAAGAAATAAATTCATGATGGCATTGAACTTGAATGAACTTGTGTACTGTATATATCCAGTTCAGGCTAAGCATTTGATGATAATTTTCTTTTTTCCTGTTTTCTAAAACTATTAGGAAGACAATTATGAGCTTCACCTTCTTTGAAATGTTTCTAAAAATGAAAGGTGATTGAAAATCTTCCATCAAGGGGGCTGGAGAGATGGCTCAGTGGTTAAGGGCTCAATCTAATCTTCCAGAGACCTGGGTTCAATTCCTAGCACACACATGGCAGCTCATTGCTGCCTATGACTCCAGATTCAGGGGATCCCACACCTTCATACAGACATACATGCAGGCAAAACACAAATGCACAGAAAATAAATAAATATTATTAAAAATTATTATTTTTAAAAGTCTTCCATTAAAACTGTTGCTTTTGTTGTGTGCAGTGGTGTGGCTGTTTTTCAGTTGTTTTAATGAATTATTTTGTGGTGTTACTGTCCAGATTATGGTCTTTAAGTAGGTTGTTGTTTCTTCTAAAAGAAACTTGGAAGTTCCTACAGACAAGCAGATCTTGGTCAGGCTAGCAAAGTGAGACAGACCACTGAATAGCATGGGTACCCATGCAGTCGCGGGGTAGCATGAAGGTCGTAAGGATAGCAACTACTGTAGACAGAAGGACATTAACATGTCTGAATCCATGACTTCATTATAACACTAAGGGAGCCCACAACATTAATTCCATTCTGAGGTGTTTGGATTGTGATCAGAAGGTCACATTATGGATCTTACTGGGATTATAGGATTATGAGTCAAGCATGTTGATTAAATAAAATTAATAACACCGGACAGTTGGTGACTTGATTACTTAGTAGCTATTTGTGATATTAAGAAGCACTAATTCTTGAGGCCAGTCTGATCTACAAAGTGAGTTTCAGGACAGCCAGTGCTATTACACAGAGAAACCCTGTCTTGGGGTGGGGAGGGGGGAAGGTACTAATTCATTTTTAGATATGATAATGGTCCTCTTAAAATATTTTGCAAGTCCATGGTGGCACATACCTGTAATCCCAGTACTCAATAGGCAGGCAGATCTCTGAGTTCAAGGCCAGCCCGGTCTACAAATCGAGTTTCAGGCCAGCCAGAGCTGTTACACAAAGAAACGCTGTCTTGAAAAAAAATTAATCTTTTCATGATATACTGAAGTAATTATGTCTTAGGTTTGCTTCTGAATAAATAGGTAACAGTGGGTCAATACCAGCATTGTAGGCATCGTTGATGCTAACTAAGCAGTAGATATGAGAGTCTATGTGCCATTCAGAAATATTCAAAATAAATGTAGCTGGATGTAGTGACTCACCTATTATCATAGCACCTGGGAGACTGAGGAAGGAGGATTGCCATGAGTTTGGTGCCAGACTGAACTACAGAATGAGACTCTTCCCCTTTTCCTCCATATAGCTTTATAAAACATTTAAAAATTGATGATGGCAATTGAGATACCTCAGTGAGTAAAGACACTTTTTGCCAAAAACTTGATCTGAGTTCAATTCCTGGGTTCATCAATGTAGAAGAGAACAGATTCCTCCAAATTGTCCTCTGAGGCTTCCCAAAAATAAATATATTTTTTAAAATTTTAAGGCATTTCTCTATTGTAATAAAAAAGGGCACCAAATATAAATGTGTTTTCCCCATTTTTTTTTTAGGGTATTATAGATCTCTCTACTTGTTGATTAATAGCAAACTTCCATCAAGTATTGAATATTCCGATTTATCGCGAGTTCCTATAGCAAAAATTTTGCTGGAGAATATCCTAAAACCATTGCACTTTACATACAGCTCCTGTCCTGAAGGTGCAAGGTGGGTGAGTGAAGATTGGGCAGTCACATTTTTTCTTTATTAGTATATCGTGGTTTGCGGGGAAGTGTGCAGTGTACTTTTCTCTTTCTCGCCTGTGCCTAACATAAATTTGTAATTCTAATGATCTGGCTATTTGTTTCCTGCTCTTTAGTACCCATCCATGAAAAAAAATTACATTAATAGAAAATATATAAAATCAAATTCTAGTCTCTACTAGATTATTTACTTAGGAGAACTTTTGGGGAAGTGATTTTAATCTGTGATTTGATGGGTAAGATGTTTTGATTCTCTTTAAATCCCTTTTCTTTTTCAGACATCAGGTTTTCTCAGCCTTCACAGAGGAGTTTCTGGCAGCACCTTTTACTGAGCAAATTTTTCATTTCGTCATTCCGGCGTTAGCAGATGCACAAACTGTCTTCCCTTATGAGCCCTTTCTGAATGCATTATTGTTACTAGAGAGTCGAAATTCAAAACGGAGTAGTGGAGTGCCATGGCTCTTCTATTTTGTTTTAACTGTTGGCGAGAACTATTTGGGTATGAAATGCAAGGTGTATTTTTCCTAACTCCTGTATAGATAGATAGTTGAGCAGATGACTCAGGAGAAGACTGCAGTGACATTTTAGCATGAATTTCACAAATTGTTAGAAATCTTGAAGTCCAGGCTGTTTTCCTAGTTCCCATTTTTGTGATCAAAAAGCAAGACGTGAGCTTTCCCAACCCTTAGCATTTAGTTCCAACACTGGCTACTTGAAGAGAGGGTCAGATTCCACAAGTTGAAGGCTTAGTCCCATGAAACTGCCTGCACTTCAGACCCCATTTCTCAAAATGGGTTGTTATCTTTGCTTCTGACCAAGTTATAAAATTGGGGTTCTTGAAACCCCTTCCTTGAGCCTGATAGTTTACTAGAGTCTGAGAAGCATGTTGACTATTGTATTATAATCATTACAGCTGAGCAGCCAATAGTGTTGAGGTCTGTGGGGAGGGTATTGGGGCTTGAACACTTATCTGGTATGTTCAGGGGCTCAGAACCTTGTTCCAGTTTCAGTAGCCCTTTTCCTGATCACCTCTCTTTAGAAGCTGGGGTTGGGTTTAAAATAAAAAACTCTAGCCTGCTTATCATTTTACCTGTCCAGGTATTAGCACGCCTTTAGGCTGTTTAAGCCTTCAGTAACCTTAAGCAAAAACTCAATGAGTGTGGCCAGAAGGGGCTTGCAGGAGTGACCAGAGACTTTGCAGGTACTCAGGTCTTAGGTTCCCCGAAACAAAGACCAAATTCATTGCATAGTGTGCGGCAGTTTGGATTTAATTAAAACAGTAAGGCCTGTTCAGAAATACCTCTCTAATGAAGAAAGTGATGCCCAAATGTCTGAAGTAACTTTTAGTAACTCATGTGCTGATTGTTTTTTAAAGGAGCACTGTCTGAGGAAGGCCTGCTGATTTATCTACGAGTGCTCCAGACCTTCCTCTCTCAGCTACCTGCTTCACCCACTGGTACAGGCTGCCCTGATTCCACCAGTGACTCTGAGGATGATAATGAGGAGACTGACCAACCTACCAGCCCTGTAAGCAACCATACTAGAAGTATTCTTCTAGCTACTCATCTTTAGTTCTACAGCCAGGAAAGTATACAGGCCCTGTTAAGCTAAACTGGTCAGTCTTGTCCTCTGTCTACTCTTATTTCTATAGCTACTCCCAATCCCAGAATCAACTTGAGTGTCTCAGGTTGCCAAAGGAAATAAAAGAAGTAAATTCTGCACTTGCAGCTTAAGCAACTTCCTTAGCATTGTATGACCAACATCAATTCCCTCTGAGAGAGGCTGGGGAAGTAAAGTTATATACAGTCTGTTTCCTGTCTATGTTAAGATATGGTATAGGCTTTGTTACAGGACACTCTTCCTTCCTGTGAGCAGAGGCTGATTTAGGAACAAAAACATATATAAATCTCCTTCCTGACTGTGTTTTATTGCTGTTTCCATCTATGGAAAATGTTACTCCACTTTAAGTCATTCCCTCCCCATAGTACATAATGGTTTAGGAGATCTCTTACACAGTTTTATACTTCGATTCCTCTTTTCTTTCTCCTGTCCTGGAGATTATTCTTTTTTCTTTAGGTTGAGAATTAATTATCGAGTTATAAATAAACCAAGAACTACTCATTTCTGGGCCAGATCTTTTGTTCCAGTTTTTTTTTTTCCTTATATGTGTATAGGTTTTGCAAGCATGTCTGTCTGCCAAATGCATGCAGTGCCCTCAGAAGTCAGAAGAGGGTGTTATATCCCCTGGAGACTAGAGATATTTGTGAGCCACCATGTGGGTTCTGGTAATTTAACCCAAGTCCTCTGAAAGAGCAGCCGTGTTCTTAATGGAATCATCTCTCTGGTCCCCCTTTTAAGACTTTTTAAAGACAAGATCTTGTGTAGCACCTCTAGCTGAGCTAGAACTCACTCTATAGCCCAGACTGACCTTGCACTTAAGCCATCCTTATGCCTCTGCCTTCTACCTGCTGGGCTGACTGGTGTGGGCCACCACACATAACTTTTCTGGGGTGGGCACAAGATTTCACTCTCTGGTCGTGGTTGGCTCCAAACTCAGAGATTCCCCTGATTCTGCCTCTTGGGTGCTAGGATTAAAGGTATGTACCATAATATACCTGCTAAACCTTTATTTTAAATTTTATTTATTTTGTAGGGTTGGGGATTAAACTCCTGGCTTTGAGTATGCTAGATAAGTGGTCTATCTCTGTCTGAGCTACTTCCCTAGTCTACCTGACTTCTTTTTAATTCTTAAGAATTTAAGTATATTTTGTTGGCTCATAAGAATTTTATGATGAGCTAGACAGTGGTGGCACATGCCTTTGATCCCAGCACTCAGGAAGCCAGAGGCAGGCGAATCTCTGGAGTTCAAGGCAGCCCAGCTTCTACAGAGTAAGTTTCAGGATAGCCAGGGCTACACAGAGAAACCCTATCTCCAAACAAACAAACAGATTACATGATGGGGTGGGTCTGGTGGAATACACCTTTAATCTTTTCACTTGGGAGCCTGAGGCAAGCAGATCTCTGAATTTGAGACCAGCCTGGTCTACAAGAACCAGTTCCAGGATAGCCAAAGTTACATAGAGAAAACATGTCTCAAGAGAGACAGACAGACAGACAGACATTGGCAGTAGAACTGAGGAACTAAGGGTTCAATGATAGACTACTCTCTTGCCTAGCATGCTCCAGGCCCTGGGTTTCATTCCTAATAGCATCCCCTCTGCAGGGGAGAGGGGGAAGAAATAAAACCACCCTGAAATAGGGATAGATAGGCTATCTTTATTTACTGGGGTAATAACTTAGGACAATTTGTCACTAATCTTATTGGGTCAGATTCGATATGTTCATGGTTATATTACTACCTTTTCTTTCCTCTGATACTTAATTGGGTGGAACTTAATTTGACTGTAGGAGACCTCTCCAAGGTCAAAGTTGCTCTATAAGCCAAGTGTCATGGCTCACTACTATAATCATGGAAAGTTGAGGCAGGAGGATCTCAAGTTTAAGACCACCTTGAGCTATCTAGTGAGTTTGAGGGCAGTCTGAACTATGTAGGAAGACCATGTCTCAAACCCTCCCCGCCAACAACATTTACCCTCAACTCTTTTTGACTTTCTGGTTTCAGTATAGTCTTTTCACTTATGTATAGTAGATTGCAAAATTTTGTGTGTCAAAACCAGCAGCCGGGCAGTGGTGGCGCACACCTTTAATCCCAGCACTTGGGAGGCAGAGGCAGGCGGATCTCTGTGAGTTCAAGTTCAGCCTGGTCTACAAGAGCTAGTTCCAGGACAGCTAGGGCTGTTACGCAGAGAAACCCTGTCTCAAAAAACAAACAACAAAAAAACAAAAAACCCAGAAATACTACCATTGTGTTCTCAAGGTTCAAGTTTAATGGCTAGAATTTAAGACTTTTACTCTAAAGGAGTGTTGGGATTGGTAAATTACTTTAAGTTTTCAGATAGTTGACAGTACTGTCATAGACACTCTCATTTATATGTTTTTTTTGTATACACATATATCAGAAAAAGCATATATCTTTAGTCAATACTGTATATTAGTAAACCACATGGCATAGGTTTTATTCAGTAAATTAAACCTAGTGAAGTTAAGATATCAAACACCAAATTTATTATGTATTTTTCATATTCTTTAAATTTTTTTATTGTCTCATAATCTAAAGCAGAAATTTCACTAGATGATAGTTTCACTTGGTGTCTCAGTACAACTCAGATTAATGATACATGGAATGAATTTTTCTTAAGGTATAAATGCTAAAATATATGCTGAATTGTAGGCAGAACTTGAGTATTCGTAGTTGGTGTGCTGCTGTGATGAACAGAGTTGATGCCTGGTGGTGACTGTCTTTAGAGGTGTTAGATTGCCTCAGGGGGTATGTTAGAAACAGTACTGGGAGGTAGTGGGATATGGCTGATTGTTAGGTAGGGCTTTGTGTTTTCTCCTGAAAGGTGTAAAGTGATAGGCGAGCTGGTTCGGCAAGTTGCAGCAGCACTCCACTCACTCAGATTCACTCTGTTGTATGTAGGAGGATGGTAGGGTCTCAGCCCCATACATAACCGAAGAATGTCTGAGAAAGCTGGATACGAAGCAGCAGACCAACACCCTGTTGAACCTGGTGTGGAGGGACTCAGCCAGTGAGGAGGTCTTCACGAGGATGGCTTCCATCTGCCACACACTGATGGTGCAGCACCGTATGATGGTGCCCAAAGTCAGGCAGGTCTCTTGGGGTCGATGTGCACAGGTGGGGGAGTGTGCTATCTTGCTATGAATCATGGGATGTAAATTGTGACCTCTTTGTCTGTTTTCTGATAAAAGATGACATAGGATACTGGACTCGCCAAACCCTTCATAAAAATGAGAGACTGTTTTTCTTTATGGAACCATTTATTATTGCATATCCTTCCTGGCCCTGAGTGTGGTATAGTAGCAAATTTCTTCAGCTAGCTTCGCTTGCAGTAGAGTCTTGCATATGAGTGTTTAGGCCTCAGCATACATTTTTAAAATTTTGGACTTAATAGCTGTGTGTCAGTATACTGAAATTCTTTTTAGGCTTTCTTCATGGTGTCTTTTAGTCATATTACCTGTGGCAAATTACTATAGTCAGTAAAAACAAACACATACATACATACATACATAGAAATATAAACTGTGAAAGAAACTTAAATGGCTGCTGGTGGTGCACATCTCTTTAATCCCAGCACTTGGGAGGCAGAGGCAGGCAGATCTCTATGTTTGAGGCCAGCCTGGTCTACAGAGTCAAGTTCCAGGACAACCTAGGACACAGAGAGAAACCTGTCTCGGGGGGAGAGGGGGAAAGGAAAGAAAGAAAGGAAACTTTTGGTTGGGATAAAACAAAATGTGTAAGTTTTTAAATGCAGTCTGTCACCTGGGCTGTCTGCTATAACGATCCATTCACGCCTTATAGTCAATTGCAGTAGAGCAGGTGTAAGACACAAAGGTGCTTCACCTTGACGGGACACATGATCAATAGCAGGAAGGAATCCCTTGTTTTGGATGGTAATTTTTGGACATATGAGCATTGCTGCCTTGGTTGTGCTTAATTTCAAAGGTGTTTAAGGACAGGAGTGAATAATGTCCAGTGCAGTTGAAGAGTGGACCATGAGCCTTAGGATCCTTCTAAGCATTTAAGAATATCCTTATCACAGATGCTTTACTGTCAAGAAAAGAAGAAACATACATGAATTTGTTCTTGATTTTAAAAAATACTTAAGCTTAAAAAAAAAAATAAAGCAACTTTCTGTGTTGGCTCAATTTTATGAGTACAACCCTGTTTTCTCTGAGCAACTATCCAAAACTTTTATTTATGTTTTGAATATTACAGTAAGTTTTTAAATTTAGGCTGTTTTTGGTTTTGCTTGTTTGTTTGTTTTTTTCAGCTCGTGAAACAACAAATAGACTTAACTGCTTTCAGTCTGGTTTTTTTTTGTTTTGTTTTTTGAGTGTTTTCTATTTTCAAAGCTGAGGTTGGTGGGTTTAGTTTCTCTTTAGTGTTGGCTCTAAGGATTATAAAGGGTGTGATAGTCCGTTTTATACTGGTAGAGATTTCTGAGACAAGCATGGGTATGAAGAACAGACAGAGAACTCTGTATGTAAGGACACAGTTCTGCATAAAGATGGAGAAAAGGATGATAATGTATTATTCTGTGGTTGTATAAAGAGATTGGCTGCATCCACAGTTAGCTAGCTGGAATGATCCAGAGGTGGCAACATACACATTTTTAATATTTTTCATTGCTTCCATAGGGTTCTTTAAAAGTTCCCATTGTAATTTTGAGTCTCACCCAGTCGTGTTTCAATGTGGAATTTCAGTGTTAATACTACTTCATCATGAACCTTTGACAGACATTTTTATAAGTTTATAATACTTTTGAGGTAGGCAAGAGTTCCCTTCCTGATGCAAGCAGATTGTAAAAGACAGCTTGCATAATAATCTTTTATTATTTTATTATTAATAATTATTAATATTTTGCTGATATATATTGATGTTTTATTTGCACACCAGAAGAGGACGTTGGGTCCCATGGGACTATAATTACAGATGATTATGAGCCACTATATGAGTACTGAGAATTGAACCCAAGTCCCCTGGAAGATCAGCCAGTGCTCTTAACTGTTAAGTCGTCTCTCCAGTCTGCAAAATAATCTTAATAGAGCCTTGCCAGTTCAAGATTTTATGATTGCTCTGTGTGGGTGCACAGGCTTGAGATCCTGATTCTCAGGCAGCTGATGTGGGAGATCATGAGTTCTTAATCCAGGCTAGGCTACACTGTCGAACACACAAAAAATGATTTCAGGATTCTGTGTAAATGTCATACTTTTCCCTGTTTGTTTTTTTGCTTGTTTGTTTGTTTGGTTGGTTGGTTGCATGGTTTTTTTTGGGGGGGGGAGGGGAATCTCATATAATCCAGGTTGGCTGCAAACTTGACTGTATAGACCAGACTGACCTCAACCTGAGAGATCCACCTGCCTCTGTATCCCAGGTTGCTGGGATTTAAAGTGTGTGACATTTCACTACTAATTTTTTTAATAAAATTTAATTTTGATTCTATATGTGCAGTGTTTATGATATAGTACATGTACCACAGTGGAGTGTGGATGCCTGCGGACAGTTCTCTGGAAAAACTTTGTTTTTCTTTCTACCACAAACTGACTTGTGTGCTAGTTATTTGAATTCTTTGCCTCTTGCTTTGTATATTAGGCTCAGTGAATACGGGAACAGAGATGTCACATAAAGGACATGTGATTGCTGTGTTGATATTTAAGATATGCAGTCTTCTCTTGTGGTGGCACTGCCTTTAAATGTTTTTCTCATGATCATTCCTAATGTATCTCTTCCATTGTGAAAATTGTTAAATTGCATTTGCTTAATTTGTTGTTGTTTTCCTACTTTGTTTTAAAATGTGTTTAGTAATCACATCCCTGTTTTACAGACATGTTTTTCCATCATCATTAGCCTGTATTTTTGTTGTGTTTCATCTCATATACTGGGATTTGATTTTTTAGGTTTAAATTCTGTTTTTTGTTTCTGACCCAAGGTCTCGGGCTGGTCTTGAACATGTTATGTAGCCAAGACTAGCCTTAAACATTTGGTCTTCCTTCTTCTGTCTCCTAACTGCTGGGATAAAAGTTTATGCCACCACACTAAGCAAATTTAAATTAATATTATTGTATTTTAGTAAACCTTATTGTGGGAGGGCAACCTAAACTTAAGTGAAAGCAGCCATGAGTTCTCAGTACTGATGGATATAGGACTCAATCTCAGGACAGTAAAAGTAGGTGAGAGCCAGACTTTTCTGCAGCTAGGGCACATGTTTTCGTTTGCTTGTTTTCAGTTTCTTTACCACGGGGCCCGTGTCAGATGTGAGCTTTTGTGGAATTAATGTGAGTGTTCTAAATTGTGTACTGTCTTCACTGTATAGTTGTGTGACTTTATTTTCTTTGTTGTTGTTCTTTCTTTTATTTTTGACATGGAAATTTGTGGTTTGTTTAGAAAAATATATAGTGTAGCTTTGTTTTTTAAGTTACGATTTGAGTGAATAATTTCTTACTTTTCCTCTTTTTCTGTTTCTCTTCAGGCTTCTCTACAGTTTAGCCTTTAATGCCAGATTTTTGCGGCATCTTTGGTTTCTCATCTCTTCAATGACAACGCAGATGATCACAGGGTATGTGCTGCGTGCAGGCTACAGATTCAGCCTGAGGGCATGGCAAGTAGCAGCTTAAAGAAAGGGTTGCATGGGCATTTAAATTACTGTTGTACTTGTTCTGTCCTTTTTGAAAATTGTATTCTGAATGGCCTCAGTTTCACTCAAACAGAGAAAAATTAGTGCCTAATTTTACAGTTAACTCATTTGTAAGCTTTATTAGCATGTTGGCTTTATCCGAAGGGAAATTTGTTTGGAAAGTCTTAGACATTGGGACTTTTCTCTTTGAAAACTTTGTTTCAATTTATATATGGGGGTGTTTGTTTTACCTGCATTTATATCTGTGTACTACATGTGTTGTTGATTCCTGTGGAGGTCAGAAGAGGCATTGAATCCCTTGAAACTGTACTGGTGGTTGTTAGCTACCTTGGGGGTGCTGAGAATTGAATCCCAGTCCTCAGAAGAGCAGCCAGTGCTCTAAACTATTGAACCATCTCTCCAATCCCTGCTCTGCTCCTTTTGTTTGTTTTTATAAAGCAAAAAACTAACCTGGTCTCTCTGTGCAGCTAGCCTGGCTTGGAGCTTACAGTCCTGGCTCAGCTTCTGGAGTACTAGGAGTAAGGGTGTACACGGTCTCATCCAGAAAACCTCTTATCAGTGGTAGGAAAACTTCCATTCATGTATAGCATTATTCTGAATTACTAGGATCTTAATGATTCTTACATGAATAAGAGTTTTTCTCAGCCCACTGTGGTTGGTGACACTCGTGAAGGCTGAGTGGTTCACCTGGAATCAACAGAGGTTAGAGACACCTAGATTAGATTCATACATAGAAATTTTAAAATAAAAATAAAAGGTTTTGGTGCATTTTAATCCTTCTGACATGACCTTGACTTAAACAATAGTTTACTTAGGGCAAGAGGAGATTGGAGATAATTAGGACACAGGAAATTACCATTGACCTGTAAGTAACCCAGCTTAGCAACAGAGATACTGCTATGGTCTGCCTGATAATTGCCTGTTTGTTTATGACATTTGTCTTTTGGTGAGGAAATGGAGTCATGATGTGTGAAAGAAAAATGATAATGTTAATTATATTAAATTATTAATACTACGTTACAATGGATAAAGGTATATAGAATTTTTAAAAGCAATTTTTAAAGATAGTCAGGAATTTGGAGTTTCTTGTTACTTGTTTACTTTATTAAATATATTCCAGAAACATAAACAGTGTATGTTTGTACTTAACATCTCATCATACTACTTTTGGGAATAAAATGAAAAATGAAACACCTGATTTTTCTGAAAATGACAGTGAATTTAGTTTGAAAATAGTTTCATAGCAAGACTAGCTCAGTAGGGAGACTTAGGTCAGACTTAGGAGACAGTCTCATTGTCTCATCAGGTAACCAAGAGGGCCCATGTACAGATGATATGCAGCCTGTACCTCACTCCAGATGTGTGGGTGGGTTTTTATTTGTTTGTTTTGAGACAAGGTTTCTCTGTGTAGCCCTGACTGTCCTGGAACTCACTCTGTAGTCTACCAGGCTAGCCTTAAACATACAGAGATCCACCTGCCTCTGCTTCCCAATTGCTGGAATTAAAGGAATGTGCTGCCACCGTGACACAACAAAAGGTTTGTTTTTATTCAAGTGTGTTCTTTCCAGTATTTCCCGTTGAAATGTGAGACAGTTTAGTTTCTAACTTACTGAAGCTAAAGCAACCAACAGCCAGCAAACAGGCAACTGTACCAAAGGCTGCTACTCTTCTTGTGGTCACTGCACTGTCCACAGAGGGCTCTCAGGGCATCCTAAGACAGGAGCCCATTCAGCAGGAAAAGCTGAAAACTCTTCAATAGGGGGAGGGAGTACTCTCCACAGACAGGTGCACATCCTTATTCCGAGGGTTACTACAAATGGCAGGGATTCATTTGAAGTCTGTAATCAACCAGCTTTTGATGTCCTACTTGTCACATTAAATTATAGACTTTTTATTTTCTTCCATGTCTCTTGAGATTGATCTGATTTGAGAAGGATATTTGAGTCTGTGTTTGTAATGTTAAGAATGGCCTTTTGTCCATGGCCTCAGAGTCCACTGGTGACTCTTCTTCCAAGTTCCATATTCCTTCATTCAAATAAGAGTGATTAACTTCTTTTGCTCACTTCATGGAATTAAAGAGAGAACAAATAAGTTAATGCTGGTTAACAGCCTTAATCGTGTGCCTGAGTGATCCTGCGGTGGCTTACGGTAATATAAGGACCAAGATTCACAACAAGAGTGATTCAGGGCTTGCTCAGCATTGCTTAAATGTAGGAAACACTGTATACTCAGCAACTGTTTATCACTTGCTGGACCTTGTTCCCTTAAATATTATATGCTTCTTGGTTTTATGTGATTTTTGTGGCTCTTCTCTGATGGGCTAGCAGGCTGACCATTATCTCTACTAATCTCAACAAAATATATGGCAATGAATTAATTTCTTTTGTGTTTATTGGAATTTTTTAAAGATTTATTTTGAAAGACCCCAAAAGCCAAGGGGGTCTCACTTGAAGCCCTCTGCCCAAGAACCAGTCCACTGGATGCAAGAACAAGAGGCAGTTTATTGGATACACAGGTGCCTGTGGACGCTACAGCAACCAAGTTACTGAGCATACCGGGCTGAAGGCACATTTTGTATTTATAGGGATTTAAAAGTTACATAAGAGGCTGCATAGCAACACGCATTTCATTGGTTCTCAAATTGGCGGGTTTAGCTCACCTCGGGAATGGCCCCATGTCTATCCTCGAATTTCTCCGAGAAACCACAAAGCTAGATAGAGAACTCTGCAACAAGTTTTGCTAGAATGCCTTGGGGGTGGGGTACTCCCTCTCCTCAGCCTAGTCAGCGAGTCTGCAAGGGGGAGGGGAGAGGTACGGGGACAGGGGATGACGGACTTTCCTTCTATGACCCAGCTAAATTTCACAGAGTCATTAGCTGAGCCTGGGGGCTTTTTTTCTATGGCTCAGTTAAGTTTCAGCAGAGTTTAACATAGTATGTGAACATGGGGGTCTTTCAGGTATGGGGGGGGCTTCAATTTATTTATTATGTATGCAGTGTTCTGCCTGCATGTCTGCTTGCAGGCCAAAGGGGAGCACCAGATCTCATTAGGGAGGTTGTGAGCCACCATGTGGTTGCTGGGAATTGAACTCAGGACCTCTGGAAGACCAGCCAGTGCTCTTAACCTCTCTCTATCCCCTTTTGAAAAAAATTTTGTGGGTGGTCTGGTGGCACAGTAAGGACTCTCAGGAAGTGGAGCTAGGTCCTATTCTCGTGGGACTGGGCAGGAGAAGAAACCACTGTTGTACCTGCTTAAGTCAGCTCTCAGCTTTCCTGGCTTTGGTAGTATAATAGGACAGTATGTATGGATGGATGGATGCGTGTCCAAGGAGGCTAGAAGAGGACATCAGATCCCTTGTGACTAGAGTTAACAGATTGTTGTGCATAGAGTTCCTGTTCTCATTTTAGACCCTCCCTGAAGGCAGTACCTTGCAGATTCAGAGTCCTATCTTCATCTGCCTCACTCACCAAGACACACACACACACACACACACACACTCTCCCAGTAAGAACTAAAAGTCTTCTACTTTGCCACCATACATGTGTGGTATTGCCTCCTTAGTCTTCACCCCTGCTCCTGTCTCCAAAATGCAACTTTTGGGACCACACAACTTTGAGGCCAGCCTAGTCTACAAAGTGAGTTCCAGTACAGTCAGGGCTATTAAAAAAGAAAGAAAGAAAGAAAGGAAGGAAGGAAAGAAGGAAGGAAGGAAGGAAGGAAGGAAAGAAAAGAAAAGAAAAGAAAGAAATTTTGTGGAAAAAATCCACAGAGAGGCAAGAAAGTATAATGTATATTCAAGAAGGTATAATGTGAATCACGGGTCTCCATTGCAGAAGGGATGTGATGCTTTCTTGTTTTGAAAGAACTAGCATGTGTTCCATATGACAGACTTCCATTAGAAAGAAAGGAACAGATTGCAGCTTGTGATAGGTAATAGAGACACAAATTTTTCTAAAAAATAAACCATCAATATAGCAGGCAGGGGAGCCACTTATAAACATGGACAAGAGGAACAAGGCACTGAGAGGAGTGGAAGCTGTGATTCCTGAAAGTTTTAATTTGTTTTCAATGTGGAACTATTATAAGCTTTCCTGAAATCAGGGGGCTAAGTAAAATGTTCTGTGCTGCCACAAACATTGGCATTTGTTAAATGGAAGCCTGAGGAGAGGGCACAGTTTACCATGCAGGAACCAAATCTTCATCTAAAACTCTCCAGTACTTTGAATTGGGACTATGTCTGCTCTCAGTAGTTGCCTAGCCTTGTGGGTGGCAGGAACAGGGACTCATCAAACAGGTTGATCTGATGGACTCTTGTCTTTTCTGGTGCCTGTTATTAACTTGTGTTGTCTCAGGAAGGGACCTTTCCTTCCTTGTAAATAGTTTTATCGTTAATGTAAATTTATTTTCACTGAATATATTTATCTGATATCTTAATTCCTAAGCTAAAACTTACCTTAAAATAGCCATTTTGTTTCTCCTTTTCCCTACTTTTAGGTCTATGGTGCCATTGCTTCAGGTGATATCAAGGGGTTCACCCATGTCTTTTGAAGACTCTAGTCGAATTATCCCACTCTTTTACCTCTTCAGCTCCTTGTTCAGTCATTCGCTGATTTCCATACATGACAATGAATTTTTTGGTGATCCCATAGAAGGTGAGAATTTTGAAAAATAGGTTTGCTGCTTGTGTCAGGGCCTGTTACTTTGAAAGAGGCTCTTCCCCCCCCCCCCTTGCTGTGTATATTGATTAAAAAAAAACTGGTAGAAAATTGGGTTGTTTCAGTTGTAGGTCAGAGACAATCATCCATGATGCCTTTCACTCTGGAGGAGCTAATCCTGCTGTCCCGCTGCCTTCGGGATGCCTGCTTGGGGATCATCAAGCTAGCATATCCGGAAACAAAGCCAGAAGTTCGGGAAGAATATGTCACTGCATTTCAGAGTATTGGGGTCACTACTAATTCTGAGATGCAACAGTGCATACAAATGGAGCAGAAGCGATGGGTTCAGTTGTTCAAGGTATGTGACATGTGGGAGAATGCATCTAGCACAGACTTGTGTCTGCTTGGTTCGTTTCAGAAGAATAGAAATGTAGAGGTTGATTTTAGGCATAATTTTTTATTTAATTTAGTTTTATACTTTAATAAATTAAATAATTTAATTTTCACACCTGAACATGGTGTGAGGATGTCATATCTCCTGGAACTTGAGAAACTGACAGTTGTGAGCTGCCATGTGGGTGTTAGGAATTGAACCTGGCTCCTCTGGAAGAACAACTGAGCCATCTTTATCTCTTCAGCCCAACTTCAGGCATAATTTTAATTTACAAAACTTTTAAAGAAAAACCATATTTTTATTTTATATTTGTTTTGTTTTAAGACTTTGCTTTTGGGCTAGTGAAGTACCTTAGTAGGTAAAGGCTTTCTGCCAAGCCTGGAGACATGAGTTGAGGCCTGAATCACACACAGAAGAAGGAGCTGACTCCTAAACATTGTCTTCTACCTTTCACATGAGTGCTACTGCACAAGATGAGAAGCAAAAGGGGAGGGCAGGACAGAAGGAGAAGAGGGAGGGGAAACTGGTCGGTATGTAAAATAAATGAAAAAAATGTTATTTAAATAAAATTCCATAAAAAAGAAAATGGGGAAAAAATGAAAAGTTAAAACCTTGCTTTTACACAGTTAATACATGAGTAAAATGTCTTAGGACTATTTGACAGGTCGAAGTAGTAATAAAAAATTTTAAATGTTTCCATTTTATTTTTCACTAATAGATCTTTTTGATGGTAAAAAAATTATTTTTGAATCTTTTGTAAAATGGAGTCATAAAGGTAGAATTAGTCTTTGTTTTTTATGCATGCTGTGTATTTATTACTCTAGTATATGTGCATGTCTAACCACGGAGAAAAAGAAGTTATGGGGTACCGTGGCTGGCGTGCTGGTAGGAGACCACTACTGACTTGGGATGGAAAAAAAAAAAGAGCAGAAAAAAAGTGCTTGACTCTGACACTCATGCAATTTCTGCTGCAAACACATCTAGTCAGCTAAAATTGCTCGTTAAAGGAGTAAGAGCAGAAGAAATGCATCTTCCAAATTGAATGCTAGATTTACAAGCCATTAATACCAGCGACCTCTCGCACACTAATGTTCCATGAGAGTCATCAGCTGTCCCTTCAGGTCTTTTATCACTGCTTTTGTCAAGCTATCTATTTAATTGAAAGAAGTTAATTGAATGAAAATGATCAACTAAGCTTGTATTAATATTGCTAATGGAACTTTCTTCTTGGCCATGTTTGGAGAAAGATATCAAGCTAGACTTTAGGAAAGACCCATTAATGCTTGCACTTAACCTGATGGGCTAATTAGGGACTGCTTATTCATCCTACAAGTCCATGAGAGTCTCTCTGCAGCCCATTCTGTCTGATTTTACAACACATTTCACTTAGAAGCATAAGCATTAGCAGTAGTGAAAGTAACTGATAATGTTTTGATTGTGTGAATACAGAGCTAATGCATCATTGAATTCATAATTTGTACAGATTGATGTAATACATGTTTGCACAATTTATTTTAATCACCTCTCTCTGCATTTGTAAGTAAACTTTAAAAGTTTCCTTCTGAGCCCTTCCTTGAAGACGGGCTATTTTGCAACCTCTTCTAGGTTACAAATAAACTAGCTCACCTACTTCAGAGTTGAAATGCTTGTGTGGCCAATCATGGATTTGAGCCATATGGTAGCGTGTATGTTTCTTGTCTATATGTAATTAAGCTCTAGGATCTTTGCTAGTAACACTTCCCTTCTGTGGGACACTGGGTTTTTTGTGTACACTAGAAGATAACTTCACTATTTTACAGTTACTACTGGGTATTTTATAACTTCATATGTCAGTCTTATCTTTGGGGCTTAGGAGTATCTGAATTTAATAATGCTCCATGAGATATTTTACACTCTGACCATAATTTATTTTGTATAAATATTAAATAAAAATTTTGTGAAGCCAAGTGCAATGATGAATGTTAGTAATTAATCCCAAATCTCAAGTTGCCAAGGCAGACTGATTGTAAGCACAGGGTCAGCCTGGGCTATATTGAGTTCAAGACCCTGTCTCAAACACTCTGCTCTGAAATTTAGGTCAACATTCACTTTGTGTGTACTTTGACCTAACCCCGTGAAAAGAAATGAAATCCTGTTTTAGATAGCTTTGTATCTTACTACCATATTTAATAGGACTTATCAAAAGCAGTGTGTCAGGGAGGCAGACACATCTGTGTGCATTGCCACATAGAGAGCAGAAAGTGCTGTAGTAGATTCTTGCTGTCTTGATGTATGTGTAAGTGAAAGAGATTGAACCCAGGGCTTTGTACATGCTAGGTATGCATTCTACCACTGAACTACATACAAAATCTTAATAGTTTGCTTTCTTTTTGATACAGGATTGGTTTAGGTTTGAAACTGTGTTTTAACAAAGACCTTGGCCTTAAATAGAATTGTTTAAAGGACATGTCCGCAACCTATTTTATACTACTTACTATGAGTTGAGTCCTTGAAATTATACAAACCAGTATGGCTCATGAGTGATCAACTGCTATTAACTATTCTTGTAGGAGAAAATGACCTTTATATCAAATAACAGAAACAATAAGGAGTAGTCACTTTTTCCTAAAAGCAAGCATTGCCTGTCTGTTCATATAATAATGATTCTGTGTGGGAGATGTTAAATGTTGTCTCTGTACAGAGCCAGCCATGTTTTTCTGAAAGTACCAAAATGTCAGCACTATTTCTGTGTATTGCAGTTCCAAATTAGTGTTGAAATATTTGTGATAAAACCAACCAAAGGAAGTGAAAGTATTTGCTATTGATTTCTGGCTTTCTGTTGACTGACAGAATTGTAAGCAGGCGCTGAGATGAGGCTTTGTCCTCGAGTGTAAGCATTTTCATTTTTCAGTCACAGAAGACCCTCTTGAATTAATTTGTGTGAGAGGCTCTGTTGTCTGGTCACAGAACATAGAATTTAAGTGCTTTGAGTCATCTTTACTTGTCACTGTAGGAATTGAGATTGGTTCCTAAGTTCTGCATCAACATTGTTAAAGCAGATCATGCATTTATCAACTTTATAAACTTCTTTTTGAAGTGTAATTTATGGCTGTAATCACTTTAACCCTATGAAGAGGTGTAAATCCTGCTTGATGTGCCTTATCAAAGGCAGTGTGTCAGGGAGGTAGGTACACAATATGTGTTGCCACATAGAGAGCAGAGGGTGCTATGGGAGATGATTCTTGCTCTCCTGATTATAAGTTTGTATTTTCTGCTTGAAAGGAAAAAAGTGTGCTGGGTGTGTTGGTGAATCTGGTACATCCCAGCACTCAGGAGTGAAGGCTGACTTGCTCACAGGACATAGAAAAACAAAGCTGAAACTTGGCTATTAGCTTCCTTTCTGCTGACTAGTCCTCATACTGTAGACCCAGTCACAAGTTCATGTCTAAGGAAGTCTTACGCCATAGTGGAGAAGCTACTGTGTTCTTTGTTTACTGAAGATGATATACCTATCATGTTACCATCTAAATATATGCCTATAGAGTAGTTCTGCTGTCAGCTTTGGTCAGAAAAAGCTTCTCTTTACAGTGATCAGCAATTACTGCAGTGATTCATAACTGACTAAATTACTAAGAATAAATGACCCATAAATGGGACATCCATATTTGTCTTAGTATTTCTGTTGCTGTGAAGAGACACTATGGCATCTCTTATAAAGGAAACCATTTTATTGGGGGCTGGCTTACAGTTCAGAGGTTTAATCAGTCCATTATCATCATGGCAGGAAGCATGGCAGCATGCAAGCAGACATGGTGCTGGAGAAATAGCTGAGAGCTCTATCACTGGATCTGAAGGCAGTAGGAAAAGAGAGTGACACCAGGCCTAACTTGAGCATCTGAATCCTCCAAGCCTGTCCCCAGTGACACACTTCCAATAAGGCCGCATCTCCTAATAGTGCCGTTCCCTGTGTGTCTATTTTCATTCAATTCACTACAATATCTGAGGCTGTGGACCATAATAGATGAATTGGTAGAAAGAATACATGAATTAGAGAAAGGGAGTAGGTATAGAATGCTGACTTCCAGGCATGACATGGCTGCTGCACTCTTGAACTCATAGCAGCTTTGCTTGTCTTTACAGTATTAGGTCCTCAATAGCCTATCATTGAGATTCGAGGAGCTCCTAAGATAAGATTTAAGATGTGCAGTTCATGAAAGAGGGAGAGAATTTTTCTTCAATAATATAGCCACTGGTAAGGCACTCATGATTCTATAAACAGACTCACCTGTGCTCCTATTAACAGCTATAACAAATCTTACTGGAATGCTCACACAAGAAGACATGGAAGGAGGAGGGATGAGGAAAAGGCATGGGATGGGGAGGGGACTGAGACAATGAATGTTGGGAAGCAGAGGCAGGAGGATCTCTGTGAGTTCAAGGCCAACTTGGTCTACAGAGAGAGAGTTCCAGGACAGACTCCAAAACTACACAGAGAAACCCTGTCTTCAAAAGGAAACAAACAAACAAAAAACCCACAGTTTTATGTAAAATTAATGCATATCAATTTCAAAAAACATTATGAAGATGTGGCTTAGAAGTAAGTAGAATGTTTGCCTAGCATAGGCAGGTTCTTGGGTTCTGCCCTAATCACTAAAGAAAAAAGACAGACAAAACAACAGCCCAAATTTTTTTTAATATTTATTTATTTTTATGTATACAATATTCTGTCTGTGTGTATGTCTGCAGGCCAGAAGAGGGCACAGACCTCATTAGAGATGGTTGTGAGCCACCATGTGGTTGCCGGGAATTGAACTCAGGACCTTTGGAAGAGCAGGCAATGCTCTTAACCACTGAGCCATCTCTCCAGCCCCCAACAGCCCAAATTTTTAACAAAATAAATGGATTCAAACACAGTGTTCTAGCTGCAATCCTGATGTGCATTTTTCACCAGGAGTTCCAGAGTGGTATTGCATTTTGTAAAGCTG